CGGGTCACAATCGCAACAAGGCATGGGACTCGTCTTCTCCCTGGTCGTCTAGATTCTTCCTCATCTTTCTCCTGGTGCTAGTCTTCCTCGGCCTTCTTGTCCTCCTCTTGCACTCCCTCCTTCTCCTGGACCCAGGGTATTTCAGATCGCGTTATGGCGTGGTCAGAACACTTGTCACATATTCCATGGCGTGGGCGCAGCATGCATTAATATCCACGAGGATCGAGCGGAAACTTCACCATGCTAGATATAAGTTTGCCTGATGCCGAAGCCCAAGCAAAAACCATACGCGGCTTCTGGTTGGATTATTGTTTTGCGAGCACGGTGCCACGCTCGAGTGGCTTTATCGCGTTGCCTGCGTCGTTCAGGGTCACGAAGCTCATTCTGGATATCTTACCAGCAAAAACGTTCGATCTGAAGGATTAGGAGTCGTGGGAAACGGTCGTTTTGGCAGAGTCCCTCGCTGTGACTTCTAATTCCCCGAAGCTGTTTGAACGCAGGAGCGAGTGCAGTTTTCGAATCACGCGACGGCGGAGTCACGTTTTGCGGCTCTGGGACGTCGGGCCCCCCATGCCACTCAGGCTGCACCGGCCAGTATGATCAAAGAGCTGTGTTCGATGCCGCGGCGAGGGGAGCCGGTGACCATTCCCGGCCCTGGTGCGTGCTGACGAAACGCGGGGAACATGAAATGTTTGCCAGCTTGGAACCCCAACCGTGGGTTCCTGCACTCCCGATGTGCAACATGTGTAGTGGAATTCACGCATGGATTGCTGACGTACATCCTACGGTCTGTATTGCGTAGTGAGGTTACATGTGTCTTCATATACACATATATATGGTGCAGGCTCTGTAGTTCAAGCTATGTGGTGAGCTCTACGGGGTGATGCCTATAAGGTGCAATACTTGGAGCGTCATTAGCTGACGTGGTTATGCGAGGACCCTTCTCGTGCAGAACCATTCCTTGGGCGAACGGATGCTGATGATGACGATGATCATGATGGTGCCGCTGACGACGAGGGTGACGACAAGATCGATGACGATGACGGCGATGACTGTGACGGTGACAGTGTGATGGTGATTATTGTGATAGATAGGATTGCGATCATGATGATGTTGACGATCATGATGGTGACAGTGTTTGGGGAGACGACATCAAATATGATGTTGACGATTATGTTGATCACGGCGGTGGGGATGAAGACGACGACGATGGCGATAGTGATGACGATTATGATGATGGTGGTAGCACTCGACGTTGGCGATGATGACAACGATAGCGCTGATGAGGATGATGAGGAAGTGCAGGCGCAGGACACCCGCAATTATAATGGAAGTGTCGTCCATTTTTGTGTGGGCAGGCTCGATCGATATTTTGTGCTTCAGTCCAACAAGTTCGTCAATCGATTGCGTTTGCAAGGTATGTCCGTGAGCTGTGTGGTTAGTGTATCGGCTTCTGCTTCATAACAACCTTCACTCCTGAGCTTGGTCCCATTCTCCCATTCTTCGCTTGATGCTTTCTATCTGATCTTTGGGGGAGGCGCTGTCAGGTCGTGTCGAGTCATGTGAGCAGATATTGTTGCGGCGGGGCAGGTGTATTAGTCTGGGCCGTGCGGTTGGAAGTTCCAGCAGCAGACCCGACACATATTTCCTTCGCCATATCATCCTTACTGTTGTCGGGTGGGGGGGTGCTACTTGGCCATTTGTATTGCCCAGGCTCCTTTCGTCGCCATGGTGACGAGACTGGTAGGCCATGCGCAACTAAGATCTACAGCCATTTTTCACGGAAAGGGCTTGGGCCCAGGGTTCTCTTTGAATGGGTTACCCCCGGTTTTGGCTTAAAGGAGGCCGGCGAATTTCCGTTCGATGAAAAACTATGTTAAAGTTCAATTCGGCATGGAAAAATGCTTTTCGCGCGTGCCCGCTCGAGGAAAGTGCGCCCCCCATTTCGGATCCTTGATCAAGAACAGGGTCTGCAGACACCCGGCTTCCCTTGTAAAAAAGAGGGTGCGGGGCATTTTTGGCAGAATCTTTGAAAAAACCAGGTCTGGAGCCCCGACCGGGACACACAAAATGTGAAAGTGTTGCTTTGTTTCGTGCCCGCTCGAGGATGGCGCGTCCTGCGCGCAGAAATTCAGGGGATGTCTCGAGCGAGACGCTCGTTTTGCAAAATTTGACGGGCCTGGGCGCTCCAGGATGCCTGGGGGGTTTGGGGAGCTCAAACCCAGCGTAATTTATGAGGGTCGCGGCTTTGGGAGCGCGGACGCTAAGTAATTTACATTGGACCCTGGCCCTGGGAGCGCTGGGAGCGCACCAGGAGGCTGAAGACGCCCTCAGAAGGCGCCAAGAGGAGCGGTCCAAGAAGCAACCAAAACAGCCCAACAGCGCTCCAAGACGCCAAAGATGGCCTCAAGATGGCGGTCGCGGGGACGTCCCCGGCGGTCCGGTTTGGCCCGCCTTTCTACATGCGCACTACAGCGCTGGGAATAAGTATGTGCTCATCTTTACCTGTCCCCCATATTGTTTGTTGCACCTATCTTAAAGCATTGCCAAGGAATCGCAAGGCCCCGACGATTCACATACAAAACTGCCGAGTCTGCACGGGCACCCTGGAGAGGTCCGTGCAGCAACGCGCCCGTGCGCGGCGCCTAGTATGCTCCGCTGAAGTGGCGGCCCTGGGAGAAGCCTCTGCTGGGGGGGGACGCCCGGGAGACCAAGGGTGCGCCCTCCATGGGGCCCGCCGAGCGCACGCCCGTGTCGTCGAAGCTGGCAGTGCTGGCGGCGCCCAGCGCCGCAGCAGGCGACGGTCGGAGCGGCGGGTGGACGGAGTCCACGAGCACCTGCGCAGGAGGCTCGGCCGCGTCGTGCGGGTCGTTGGGCGTTCGGGGGTCGCCGTCGGGCGGGGCATGAGACCAGGTTGGCTCCAGCGGCCGGGGCGCCGCCCCCCGGAGCCTCGTCTGTGAGCGAATTGTGAGGACGTCTCGAGCGGGAACATAAGGGTCCCACACTTCATGTTCGAATCCGAAGCGGGTCATCGGCTTCCCATCAGGTCAAGCACTTGAGCACCCTAGGCAGCCTCGCCTGTAACCTGGCGGCAGCCTGGGGTGGTCCGAACAGGGAGACGTCTGGGTCCTCGGACTCGTAGAGGTCGCTGCCGTTGTGCTGCGTGGAGGCGAGTGGGCGGGTCCCCCGTGGTGGTCGCGGGGCTAGGGCCGTGCCGAGAGCCCTGGGAGCGCGGGCGGGGTCAGACACGGGTCGCGCGTGCAGAGGTGTATCAGACGATGTGTCCTCGTGCCCTCTGGCAAGTGTCGGCGGTAGTGCATACTCCCGTACTGGTGCGTGTACCATACTGGTGTAATTTACAACGGATCGCGACCTTGGGAGCGCAAGTCCAGCGTAATTTGCTTAGGATCCTGGCCCTGGAAGTGCGAACGCCGTATAAGTCACAAGGGATCGTGCCACTGGGAGTGCGGGCGCCTTGTAATTTACAAGGGATCGCGGCCTTTGGAGCGCGGGCGCCGCGTAATTTATGAGGGGTCGTGGCCCTGGGAGCGCGGGCGCCGTTCACGGGAACGTAGCCCTCGGAGCGCGGACGCCACGTAATTTATTATGGAGCGCGGCCTTGGGAGCGCGGACGCAGCGTATCGTGGCCCTGGGAGCGCGGACGCAGCGTAGTTTACAAGGGATCGTGGCCCTGGGATCGCGGACGCAGCGTAGTTTACGACGGATCGTGGACGCAGCGAACTTTACGAGGGATCGTGGCCCTGGGAGCGCGGACGCAGTGTAGTTTACAACGGATCGTGGCCCGGGGAGCGCGGACGCATTGTAATTTTCAATGGATTTTGACCCGAGGAGCGCGGACGCAGTTTAATTAAAGCGGGTCGTGGCCCTGGGGGCGCGGACGCAGCGTAAATTGCGAGGGATCGTGGCCCTGGAGGGGCGGACACTTCATTCACAATGGGGCGCGGCCCTGGGAGCGCGGACGTAGCGCAGTTTACGACGGATCGTGGCCCAGGGAGAGCGGACGCAGAGTATTTGACGAGGGGCTCGTGAGTCGATAATATTTGTGAAATCGACGATGTCGGCCTCGTGGGGCTCTCTCGGGAGGTCTTTTGAAGCGCTCTTGGGGCCTCTTGGTGCCCTCTTGGATCTCCTTGGAAACATCTTCAGGCGCCTTAGAGCACTCTTGGCCTCAGCAATACGAATATTGCGTACATTGCAGGGGACGCGAATCTGATATTATGTATAAAAAGGTTTTTCTGGTTTGGACGGCGCAATTATTGAGCAATGTGCAAGGGTTTGTGGCCTCGGGGACGCGAATCTTGTATAAAGTATTGCGGGTTCTTGTTTCGGGGGCGCGAACATTGTAATGGTTTAGGGGTTGTTACTTCGGGGCCGCAGCACTTAGATAACTTACCAAGGTGTGTTGCCTCGGGGGCGCAAAACTTGCGTAATGCGTGCGAGTGAATGGCTTGGGGAATATAATATCGTGTAATTTACTACGGTTTGTTGCCTCGGGGACGCAACACATGCTTAAGTTGCAAAGGCGATTTGCTTCGGGGACGCGAACATTTCATACTTTACGAGGGATCGTGGCCTTTGGAGCGCAACTGTGTGGCGTAACTTACGGGGGATCGTGATCCCAGAGGCGCGATTATAGCATAATTTACTAGAGATCGTGCCTTCGAGGGCGCGAACCGAATATCTTTTACTAGGGATCGTGGCTTCGGGGATGCGAGTGTGGTGCAATTTGCTACGGATCGTGGCTTCGGGGGCGCCAGCACAGCAAAATTTACGAGGGGTTATTGCGTCGGCAGCGAGGGCCTCATGTATGTTTACATGTCCCACAGCCCCGCAGGAATTCTGAGAACGCGAGTCGGGGGTAGTAACGGGGCCCTTTTCGATTCCCACCTCCTCGCGCAGATTCCAACAATTCAGGGTGGGAAGCAAAAAGCAGGACTGCAACATTGGAAGCTGGAAACTGGGACTAGCGCAGGCATCTACAACAGGAAGCAGAAACCAGGACTTTAGTATTGGAAATCGGACACTGGAATTGGCGCAGGGAGCAGCAAGCCGAATCCTCGCAGCCTGATGGCCCCACAAGGGGGCTGGCGGAGTTGATCATGTGGGTCCAGTTGCTTCAGTGTAAAAAAGGACGGTGCCCAGACTGAGTAGTAGCTGCCAGGGTCCGTTCTGAGCAACCTGAAGTGATAGCGTAAGCTGCCCGCGCTCAGATAAGGTGCACTTTTTCGCCGATCCGCTTCGGAGAATCCGCCAGAATTGGGGCATTCTTCTTCTCTTGCTCATGATTGGAAATTCCATTGGCCGATGCGTAGAGTGACAGTTGCGTCGCCTCCGTGGGTCTATACTTCCGCGTTGTACTTCAATGTAGGCGTAGCAAATGCGCCGGCCGTTTGGACCAAGTGTTCGGTAACAGCTCCGTTCACATGGAACGCTGGAAAGCATCCTCATCATCCTCATCACGGGAGCAAGTCTGAAAGATCGAGAGCAACAGAACAAGACGGGAAAATGTCTTTCAGTGGGGGGCGCGGCTGGATGCGGCGCAGGATGCCGCCGGGGGCGCCACGGAGGTGACCTTCGACCAGGCACGCCGAGACGCGGCTTCCTGGGTCTTGGGTCTGTTAGCGGGGAGCCGGATAGTTCCTCCTCCTCCTCCTCCTCTTCCTCCTCCATTCCTTTTCCTGATAAATATCTTCCCCCTGTCGCACCCCGAGGCCAGATTTTGGGGCGGGCCGGGCGTTTCGCCCGAGACTCCTTCACCACCTTTGACCCCGAAGCCTAAAACACGGCAACAGCTTCACCGACGGAGGGTGGATGGTTTTCAACATGTGGCTGTCTCATGAGACCCGCGCGCACTTGGGAAGGCCACTCGGGGGACTGCGGGCCAGGAGGGCGCGTGGGTGAGCGAGCCAGTGGGCGAGTCAGTCCTGGAGGTTGGGGAAACTAAAAGGTACCACCGATACTGCTACTCCCCGGTCCTCTTCTGGGGCGCGCTCCCACCAGGATTTCGAAGCGAATCCAACGGCGACGACGAAGGCCTCCCAGGAGGCCCAAAACGGCGAAAATATTGCAAGAGGTTCACGCATCGTGGGCGGGCCGTTTTTTTTTCTCGGCTCTCGCCTCAGCGCCGCGCGCCGCCGGGCCGTCGCGCCCCGCGCGCGGCGCCGGGGCACAGCTGGCCGTCTCGAAGCGGGCCAGGCTGACTCGGTTCGACTTCTGGGTACCGCGGGCGCCCCGCGAGTCGGGCAGCGGCTGTTGAGGTGGCGGGAAGAAGAATCAGGAGGGAAACAAAACACACAGACACAATCAAGCGCCGATTCCCAGGAAAATGTAGGAAAATGCGGGAAATAGGGGGAAGACAACAACCCCGAAAATATATTGGAAAATATAGGGAATCCTGTTATTTGTGTGTAGTTGTTTGTGTGTCCCAGGGCCCCTTCAAAGAAGATGTGAGGGGCTGACGCTTGTCCACAATAGGGATATTGCTCGGCGCCGCGCTGAACATATTTGATCATGCCTTCTCGCATGAATTTTGCTATCCGAAAGATGGGTCCCAGGAAGGATCCAAGGCAGGTCCTTTTGAAGACAAGGGTCTCGCTTGAATGGCGGACCCACAGGGTGCTTGTCCGCCAACAGGGGCTCATGGAGTGGGAAGTGGGCTCATAGGCTTGCAGGGCCGTGTGAGGGATGGAGTTGGGAAGTGCGGGTTGTCTTGCAGGATCGTTGACGCATCTTGCGGTTACCTTTCTGGTTCTTTCCCTTCCCCTTCTCCTATTACCCCCTGTTCCTCTCTCCTCCCCCATATACATCCATTCCCTGTCATCTTACCTCTCCTTCCTCCTACTCTCGGTCCTTCATAACCTCCTCGTCCTCGTCCTCCCCCCTCTCTTCACATGCCTCCTCCTCTTCACATCCCTCCTCCTCTTCATCCTCCTTCTCATCCTGCCTTCCTCTGAGGGAGGTTGTCTTCTGGGAAGGGTGGGGTGTTCGCCCATCGTCCGAGAGGTCCAGCGGCGCGCAAAATGCGGCTCCGAAGGTCCCTGCGTCTTAAAGTCTTAGAAGGCAAGAGGGAAAGAAACACACAGACACAATTACTCGTCGACTCCCCGGAAAAAATGCAAAAATATGGGAAGTGGGGGGGAAGACAACAAAACCCGAAAATATTTGAAACTATGGGGAATATTTTTATGTGTGTGTATTTATGTGTGTGTCCCAGGGCCCCTTCGAAGGTGTCCGCGCCTGGCATTCGGGAGGGCCCGTCCCTGGTAAGATGCCCGCTGGCTGCTCACACGGCCGCCCCTTTCAGCTTTGCCTCGCGATGTCGCCGCCAAGGCTGCGCGAGTCCCGACGGCCCTGGCAAGCAGAGGCGTTCGTTCGCCTTGGCACCGCGCGCTGAATACGCATCATGGGTGCTCGGGGCAGTCCGCTTCGTGGGCTGACGCGCTCGGAGTGTGCAAAACGGAGGATTCGGAGGAGGAGGAGGATTACAGACACCGTTGGCTGCATCCCATTTCGGCTGCACTTCCAGGTGTTTTCCTCTCGACATGGTCGCTCCCAGCGTCTCGAGGCGCCTTGAAAACCAGCTACATGCGGCCGCTTCGCTACGCATGCGAAGACAATCCTGACCTCACGCGGCGCGCGACGAGGATGAAGGTTTCTGAAGATTGAGTACACATGTTACGGCGACTTCAATGCATATTTTGAGGCTCCAATAGCACGTACCAAGGGGGTGATACATTGTTTCCCATCACAAATGGAGTGAACTTGTTGGTTGGTTGGGTGTTGCCCAGTTGGTTGGTTGGTTCGTTGGGTGATCGGTTGGTTCGTTCGTTGGTGGGTCGGTTAGTTGGTTAGTCGGTTGGTTGGTTGTTTGGTCGGTTTGTCGATTGGTCGGTTGGTCCGTTGGTTGGGCGGTGGGTTGCGGTTGGTCGGTTGGTTGGTTAGCCAATCGATCGATGGGTCGGTTGGTCGGGTGGATGGCGGCGCGACGCGGGAATGGCACGGCACGTCATGGTTTGGCGGGTTGGCCGATTCTCACAGTTGCCCGGCGGATTAATTGGTAGGTTGGTTGGTTGGGCGGTTGGTTGATAGGGTTATATTCCATTTCTTACGCCTCGCATGGCAACGCAGGAGGGCGGAAACAAGTAGCATTTCACCATATTCGTTACGTGGTAGCGCCTTGGGGGGGAGACACACGAGTCGATTTCATTCGACACGTGGCAACGCAGCGGGGCGGCATTAGTTTGTCCGCCGCGTGGCTACCCCTCAGGAGCCAAGCGACACTATACATTGCTATTTGCCAAATGGCAACGACGCGAGACGGAAGCAGTACCGTCCCTTTTTTACTCGTCACGTGGAAACGCCTGGAGGGCGAAGCGATACTAGTCTATGCGATTCGCCACGTGGCAACGCAGCGGGGCGTCAAACATTTATTTTCTAGTATACTCGTCACGTGGCGACGCCTGCGGGCGGAAAACATGCAAGTCCACTCGATTTGTCTCGCGGCAAGGCCTAAGGGCGATAGTGCACGAAGGCGAGAAATCATAAAATTCGATCTTCAGTCGCCAATTGGCAACTCTTGGGGGCTGAGACAAGTTATTATTCCACTGTAACCGTTGCGTGACAACGCTTGGGGGCGAAACACATACTATTGCATTCTACTTGCCATGTGGCAACGCAGCGGGGCACCACACTTTTTTATGGTTGTCGACTCGTCCCGTGACAACGCCTGGGAGTGTAGAACAGATAGGATTTCATGTCATTCGATTCGTTGCGATGTAACGCCTGGGGGGCGAAGACATCATGCGATCCACTCTTCCCGTCACGCGGCAACCCCTGCGGGGACTTGAAAAGGGGTAGCGCAAATCTTGGCTACCACATGGTCTTTGTTTTTTGGTGTCGGGGCAGGGGCTCCAGGTCAGTTATCTGCAGGCCCACGCGAGCGCGATCTTCTCTGGCCCAACCATTCTGCCCGCAGCGATTCCAGCTCTGAGCGTTTCCAGCCTCCCCGTAAGGGTAGGGGAGAGAAGCGATATACTACACTCCGTCCGCTACGCCCGCTACTACTGACACCCCGCGCGAGGCTAAGCCATCACTGTCCAGGTGGCCCTTGGTCCAGGTGGCCCTTGATCCACCGAGCCGTCAGGAGCCCGCAGCGGCAAGGGGGCGCGATGAGCTCCCACAAGACAGAGTGCGATCACTCCAATGGGCATGCGCCATGCCGGAGCGCAGAGACACCATTCTGGACGTACTGTGAGGATGTGACCCTTCCAAGCGGCTGCTGGGCCACGTGGAGCGCCTGCACCGCTGCCGCGAGCTCGGCCCGTGGCGCAGTCTGCGCCCCATCGACCCCGCCACTGCGGTCGGTCTGCACTCCCGCGGCGTCCTCCAGGCGGAGACCAAGCCCGGCGCGGGCCAGCGGCGGGTCAGCCGGGTGCACGCACGCGCCGTCGGTCCAGGCGAGGCACCGCGCTGCGCCTTCCGCCGGCGAGGGCGGCGGGGGGAGCGCGGGCGCGGGGGCGCTTGCGCTGGCAGAATCGGCGAGCGCCGCCAGGCGGGCCAGGGATGCGGCGGAGCACGCAGTGGAATAGCTAAAGGTCTGGGTGAGAAATCATACCCTGAGAGAGAAGGGATGGAGAAGGAATTGCAGGAGGAGGAGGATGAGGAGGAGTAGGCAGGGGGGGAGGAAGGAGGAGGAAGCAGGAGGAATAATGAGGAGGGCAAGCAGAAAGGCCAGATGTATCTTGGATGCCCTTCGGAGTCTCTTCGGATGTCTTCCGAGAGCGTCTTGGAGTCCGCTTGTGGTTTCTTGGTGGTTTGTTTGCGCATCTTGGGGGGTTCTTGGGGTCTCTTGGGAGCCTCTTGGAGGCATTTTCGGTGCCTTTGGGGGGCCTCGTGGGGCATCTTGGGGCACTTTTGGAAGCCTCGAGGGCCATCTTGGGGCCATCTTGGAGGAGAGCGATCAAAAAAGGGAGGGGTCCAACTAGCGCCCTTCCCCAGGAGGCCAACATGTGGCCAATGATGTTGGCCTTCTCGCCGAGGCCATCTTAGACGCTCTGACCACTCTGGGCACCCCGGTCCAGGTCCAGGTGGAGAGGGGAGGGGGAGGAGGAGGAGCAGGAGGCGGAGGAGGAGGAGGAGGAGGAGGAGAGGGAGGAGGGAGGAGCGAGGAGGGAGGAGGGGGGGGAGGGAGGGAGGAGGGAGGATGAGGAGGAGGAGGAGGAGGAGGACGAGGAGGATGAGGAGGAGGAGGAGGAGGAGGAGGAGGAGGAGGAGGAGGAGGAGGAGGAGGGAGGAGGAGGAGGAGAGCAAACTGCGAAGACGTTTTGGACGCTCCTGGGCTCGCCACGTGGAACGCAGGGGGGGGCCAGGAAGCTCATAATCCCACTCTGGCCGTCAGGTGGCAACGCCTGGGGACCGAACACAATAGGGGTCCACCCGATTCGTCGCGTGGGTGTGCCCTTGGCATCGCTTCGGACGTGTGCATTCTTTCTTCGGCGAGCACCATCGAGGAGCATCCTTGATCATTCAGGGAAACAACCACGCACGAAACCCAACACAAACACAGGGAATGGACGTCCGAGCGATGGCCAGTGCCTGATGGGCGACAGCGGCCAGAGAGCAGCGGCTAGGCGGCGGCGGCCCTCGGCCGGCGCCCAGGTCGAGAGCCAGCATCCATTATGAGCGGCGCAAAAACACCGGGTCGTCTTCAGCGAGAGTGGCGCGTAAGTTGCCCGCGGAGGATTGCGCGTCAGCGCCCTCGTCTCCAGTGCGGCGTGCCGCGCTGGCGGCCCGCGTAAGCTGTGGCGTGAGGTCGCTCTGCAATCTCGCGTGAGATCCCTTTCATTTTGTCGCCCATTTGGTACAGTTTGGCACGTCCCTTACACAGATCGCACCTCGGAGGCCCGACAGTTTGTTCTGCCCCCTCAGCCTGCGGCGAACGCCCAGGCCTCGAGCCAGTGCCCATGGGCCAATTTTCGCACACCCCTCAAACGGATCGCACCCCTCGGACCATAACAAAATCATAACGCCCCAGTCCAGAGACGAATTCTCGAGCAGTTTTAATGTTGTTTCGGACTTTCATAAACACGAGTCGCTCCCCATCTTACCGCATTATCTGGTCCACACGTCCGCCCAGTCAGATCCTGGACGACGTTCGCGCGTCGATGCGCCGACGTGGGCCCGACGTACATCCACCGTGAATTCCAGGCGGATCCGACGTCCGTTGGGCCTCAGACTGCCGCGCGAGGCCCCCGCCGCCTCGTCGCCCCGACTGCTCTGCTCATACACACGGCGCGCTCCGCTTTTGAGCCAGAGAGTGGCCGCCCCGCCGCTGCCATCTGCTCAGCAGCGGCCGGCCGCCGCTCCACGCAGGGGAGGGGGGGGGGGGTGCACCTCCGCACGCAGCGGGCGACCGCGGCGATGGCGCACGCGGCCGGCCCGCGCGCCGAGGGCGGCTGCGCCCCGCGCGCGCCCAGCCGCGCCGGCAGCAGGGCCAGCGGCCTCGGCGCCGCCTGCAGGAGCAGGCCCCGGAGCTCCTGCAGCACCGCATGCAGCAGCCCTCGGGGAGCAAGCACGGGCACGAGCAAAGGGCTCTCGGAGGCCCGCGCGCGGACGTCGCGGATCGGCGCTTGACCCCTTCCCCCCTCTGTCGCGGAGGCGGGGGCGCCGGGCGCGCCGCGGGGCGGAGGCGCTCCTGGGGGCCCCAGCGCCGATCCGAGAAGCCCGCACGGAGCTCCGACAGTCTGCGTGTGCGTCTCGGCTCCTTCCCCGGATCCTCGCCCAGGGCCCCGCGCCCGCCGGCCTGCCGGCCGTGGCGTGCGGGCGCGACGGGGGCCGCTCTGCGGGCCCCGGGCGCGCGGCGGCCGCCCGCCGGCAGCTGCGGAGCCTCGGCCGGGCGCGCGCGAGCGCCAAGCCGAGGGGCAGCCACGACGGGGACGCAGCCCGGGCCCCCGCGACGGAGGATCGCCCGAGGCGGGGATTTATCCATATCCGCCGCCTGGAGGGTCAGTTTTCGGAGACTCGGCAGGCGGTGGATATGGACATATTCGGACCCCCGGGGGCCGAAATATATCCATATCTACCGCCCGCTGGGGCACCAGGACGTCGGTCCCCAGGCAGTGGATGTGGATAAATCCCCGCCTCGCAGATGGGCACGGGCGAAATGGGTACGGAAAGAATGGACACAATGCCCAGCAGCAGTTCCTGTTCATGTTGAACAGGATTCGCTGTCCGCGCCGCCGCGGCCTGTGCCCATTTCAGACTGAAGGCCGCCTGCCCAACAGCGGCCGCTGTTGGTTTGGGGCAACATTTGTTGCTGGGCAGTGTACCCATTTTTTCCGTACCCATTTCGGGCGTCCCAAGAGGAGCAGCTGCGCGAGGACCTCGCGGGGCGCAACGGCCGCTGGCGGCAGAGGCGCGCGGTGGACGGCCTGGCGCTGCTGGAGGCGCAGAAGGCCGCCGACGCGGAGGAGGACCGCCGGCGGGAGCAGCGGCGCGAGGCGCGGCGCGCCGAGCGGGAGGAGTGGAGCCAGCAGTGCCGCGAGACGGAGCGGGTGTGGATGGAGGCCAAGATGCGCGAGCACGAGGCCGAGCGCGACCGCAGGGCGAGGCAGGAGGCCGAGCTGGAGCGCGAGCGGCAGCGCGCGGAGGCGCTGGAGTCGAGGAGGCGCTTCCTGCGCATGCCGCGGCCCTGCAGCGCCTGCGCGGGAACGGGCAAGTGCCAGGAGCCGTGTTGCCCCGATAGTTAGGCCGCTCGGAGCGCAACGCGTGCCGTGTTCGGCACGTCTTCGAAACGCAACACCGACCGTGTTCAAAACTTCCGTGTCAGCACGTTTTTCTTGTTGGCTGAACGTGTTGGCCCACGCTTCAGCGAACGTAGACCTACGTTTTCAGTCCAGGTGTTGATTTCCGTGTCAACGCGCTACGGGTTGCGTGCTGAGTATCGGGTCAGCTACGGCCAGGAGTGCAGGGGCGCTGGCGCCACCACCGCCACCTATCTCTCCTCCACGGTGTCCGACGACGGTGGTGGCCACTTCCACGGGCGTACCATCCACGGCTGCCAGGCCTGCGGCGGCACCCGCAGCGCCGAGGCGGTCATGTCGCGGCTCTCCAGCGACTGCCAGAGCGGCTCCGGCAGGTGCACGAGGTGTTGGGGGGAGGGGTGCACGCGGCTCAGCGAGTCCGAGGTGGAGGCAGCGATGCAGGCGTCCTAGCCGCCTGCTTGCGCCCCGTGCCACGCTCCTGGGGCCGTAGCGCGGGGCCCCGAACCTGGCGCAGGCGCAGCCGCACCGCGTAATTCTATGAATTCGGTTTTTGCCAAGGAGCGCCACGGCCTCCTCGATCCTGCTCCTCGATCCTTCTCCTCGATTCTCGATCCTTCTGGACCCCTCTCGATCCTCGACCCTTCTCAGGCCTCGGTCCTCCGCCCACGCCCCCCCTCCCCGTGCCCTCCCCGCCTGTGACGGCCTGCCCCGAGTCCCGCCTTCCGGGCTCCTTCTGTTCCCCCCATCGTCCTTCTCTCCTTGCCTCCTCTCGTCCCCCTTGCCCTCCCTCCCTCGTCTCCCTCGGCCTTCCGGGTTCCTTCTGTTTCCCCCCTCGTCCTTCAGTTCCCCCTCGTCCTTCCATCTGCGTCTTCCCTCCTGCGCAAGGGTGGCGGACTGAGCTTCCCAAAGGGAGGTTGCACTGCCGACGGGCTGCCTTGCTGCCCGTCGCACTGCTGTGACACCGAGTGGGGGCCGCGCCCCCCCCAAAAGCACGAGAATGCTTCCGTGTCCCGCTTCCTGGAAAAGGAGGCCAGGATTAGAGCAGCAGGGCATGATGTGTCTTAGCATCGTGTAGCAATATAGCAGGCTAGTGCATAACATAGCGTTGTATAGCCTAACGCTGCCTACCACGGTATGCATTGTAATGGCGTGGCATAGCCTAGGATATCCGAGCATGGCGTAGTGCAGCATCGGTACGGCATGGAGCAGCATGGCATTGGAACGTATGGCATCTCAGGAACGTATGGCATCTCATAGCTCGTTCATGTAGCACCGTATCGCGTGTCAATGCTCAGCATCGTTGCGTGGCTCCGTGCCGAACGCAATATCACAACATGTCAGACCATACCATGGCACAGAACAGCGCTGCACAGTACAGGAAAGTCTGGCATGTCGCAGCAGCGCATCAGCATGGCATTGCCCCCATCCATCCATCCATCCATCCATCCTTTCTCCGCTCCTCTTCGTCCCCGTGAGCCATTGGGAGGGCGCACGCTTGGGGCCCAAGGAGGGCTTTGGAGAGTCCGAGACGGCCCGAAGGCCCCCGAGCCTGGAGAGGGAGGGTCGGACCGCGCATGAGAAACTGAAGCGGCAAGGTCATTCAGGCAAAGCCTCACTGTCATTGGGGGTCAACAAACATACAGTCAAGCCGCTGAAATAAGGAACAGTTTTGGTTCGGAGGGGGCTCGATGTTCCTTAGGTTCCTTCAGTGCTGTTCCTCTTGCCCTCCTGGGGCACGGAGGCGCTCACAGGGCCAAGAAGGGGCTGCGTTCCGTTCCTTCTTTCAGCGGCCCGACTGTACAGCGCGCTCCGCGCTAAGTTCCATGCCATGGCTCGCAGTGCCTTCTCGCATGTGGTAGGTTTGAACCCGCGACGCCCCAGGATTGCCTGGCAGCCTCGTCCCGTGGCTGCGAAGGTCTTGTCATTTCCACGTCCTGTCGATCTTCCTGTGTGCAAGGCTATCGTGCTTCTCCCCATCCTCCGCCTCCTTCTCCTCCTCTTCTCGACGTTCCGAGTGGGACATTCGCCCCTCCTCATCCTCCGCCGTCTTCTCCTCCTCCTCGTCCTTCTCGTCCTCCTTCCGCTCCTCCCCCCCGTCGACCTGGAGGAGGATGAGGGCTTGACATGCGTCCCATCGGTGACTACCTGCGCAGACAAACACAAGGTACAACCCTCTATGTCAGCTCGAACACATGAATGATTGTGCTGCTGTGCGTGATGTGCTCGCTACCTGTGTCGTGGCCACAGCAGGCCCAGACGAGACCATTGTTGGCGATGGTACTCTGTGCCCACGACTGCGACAAGTTCTCCGCACTGTCGCGGCATGACAGATCTACCTCCGATTATGCCATTGTTTCCCGATCTCCCTCGCGTGTCTGCAGGCACACGGCACGTCACTGGGGAAAACGCGGGTCGACCGATCCAATGTTGAGTGTTTAGTGAAAAGGGTGCCCTGGGCTGTTTTGCGTACCAGCCCTGGGTGCAGCAAGCCTGTATCGGCCAAGGCTAGCTAATTCTTCACCCGTTGGGCCCGTTTTGCTGGCGAGTTTCCTGTTACATTGCTCCATGTTGTTCTACTCGCACTCCCCTTGCATTCCATGCTTGTTCGACGGGAATGGTCATTCATGTTGAAGTTCGATGATAACATTGCCGCTAGCTCTTAGACCTATTCTATTCTACATGTGAAGGTTTTCGGTTTCCCACACCTATGCCACACATGTGTCCTGCACAGCTCACGCCATCATCTGAAGAAGAGGAGGAGGGAGGAGGAGGGAGAGGAGGAGGAGGAAAGGTCAGGGATCGGGAAATAGTAAGTTTCGCTTCCGCCCAGGATCCTCACCGCCTGCGGCCTCTTGGCATCCGAAAAGCGCTCGCGATTCCCAAACACGTCCGAAACGTCAGAACATATTCCCTCATCGCTCCTCGTGGAACGAGGGCACGTCTTACTAGGAGGGAAGGAGCAGGAGGAGGAGGAGGAGGAGGAGGAGGAGGAGGAGGAGGAGGAGGAAGAGGGGAGTTGAAGGAGGAGGAGGAGGAGGAGATCCGGTCATGGCCGAGGCGCTCCGGATAGAGGCCATAGACGCCATCCTTGAGGACGGCGGCACATCGCTCAAGGACAGCGTGCTCGCGCGCGATGGAATCGAAGAGGCACCCAGACCCCCTGGCCATGGTAAGAAACCCTTACTTGATTTATGCGTGTTAGTTTCTATGTCCGGGACCCTACCCGGGCCGTGGGACACTTCCCACGGCCCAAACGGGACCTTGGATTTGTCAAAACATTGTTCAGGATGAGTGGCCAGTCTTGGCGAAGGGTACGGGACCATTTTGTGTTTTCACGCGATGAGAGAATTACGACGTCGAGGGCCTGGGTACCAAGCCGCAGACGTTTGGTCGCGTTGCCCTCAGAGAAGGGAGCGGTTGCTTGCAGACGCCTCTTCCGTATACCTCATTAGTATTAAATTCCAGCTGTGCCGCCTGACCAGGGGCCCAGATTTTTGGGTGGTAAACTCTTTCGTGCTTCTCCTCAACTTGGACGTTTTGCCGCTGACGTTGCAAATCTTGTGGATGGAATAGGCCCTGGCTCGCGTGGCTCGCAAAACGGCGACAGGTCGGTCTTACCTCAAGCCGCGCACATACACTCTGAACATTGCGCTCCCTTCTGGGCCGGGCGCACCGCTTTCGCGCGCCAATTCGTCAGCGGCAGGGTCGCCACGAGCGGACGAACCGTAGCTATCGCCCAAACGCCGCGCAGATTTCCTCTGAAAGTGGCGCTCCCGCTTAGGCGCAAACATATGTGTTGCTTGTCAAATCGTCCGCGGCAGGGTCGCGCACGATCGATCGATTGAAATGTCACTTTCGCCCAGGCGCCGCGTAGAATTAGCCTGCAGCTGGGGCTCCCGCTTCATCGCGGCGCATATGTTTCCCTTGCCCAGTCGTCGGAAGCGGAAGTGGGGCCGCGCGTGCGCATGCGAGATATCGCCCTCGCCAAGGCGCCGCGCAGAATTCCAATGTGAACGCGGCGCTCCCGTGTGGGTGCAGCGCATGCTTTGCCTTCGGCAGCCATGTCTGACATCAGGCCGCGCGCGAATGGGCTGAATGTTGCTCTCTTCGATGTCCGTTCGTGGGAGCCTTGGGCGGCGACGTTGAAACAAACTGTTCGCGCATTTAGACCGCGTTTGGCCCTTCCTCCTGCTCCTCCTGGCTTTTCCAGTCAATGCACTCCTTCCGCACCACCACCCTGCTGCCCGTCTTGCTCTCTAGCCTTTTTTGCGCTGTCTGCTTCTCTTCTTGAGTTGGACGTTTTACCTGTAGCTGTTTGACTCTTAGGGAAACAGAAAAGAAGCGAGCCTGCGGCGCGCGCGCGTGCGTCGGCCGGCGGGCCGGCCTCCTCCCTGTAGGGCTACCGTATTGCATGCTTGAGGGCATCATCTTTCTCCCCCATGTCATCGGCGAAGCCCACTGACCATGAGGAATCAACGGAACACCTTACAGGGATTATGCATACTGAGGCAAAATATTGGTTATCAGCCGAAACGGCGGCACAGCCGTTAGCTTCGCAGAGCATGGGACCACAGGAAGGTTCGTTCGGAAGAAGAGAAGAACGTTATCGTCCCGAGCGTAGTCATGATGCAGGCGCCTTTTATGAGGCGACCTAGCTCTCTCCGCCTCCCAGAATGGCAAGCGTCGAAAACTGTGTTCGATTTAACAGAAGGAGACCCTCCGGTCGATTCGATGACAGCAATAAGGGAACAAACCCCGGGTGGGAGGTATGGCGCAGCCAAAGCCCCCGCCGGGGGGCCATTTAATCTAGTGCTGGCACACCCTAATTCTCTAACGTCGATTGACTTAGACCATGAGATGGAAAAGCTGCAGGAACTAATGCCCCGAGACACGTTCGATCAAGGCAATTGTAGCACAGGAAACGCAGCGCAGTTTGAGATTCACGGTCAGGATGAGGAAATGAGCGATTTACCATTTGAAAGGGACATCTCGCATTCAATTGAGAGGAATGAAGACTACGCTCAATTTCATACTTCGCCTGGCCCATCTCATCGCTAGAATCCCCTCACTGATGGGTCCGACGGGTTCGCCCCAGGCGCAGACCCTCCTGCCCTATCCATCCCGCTTTGCTCCTGCTCGTTTTCTCCTTCCACTTCTCCTATGCTGTGGTTGGAGCTGGCTCGGGGGCGACGGCGGCTCGTTCGCCTGAGCCAAGGTTTCCCGATGGCCCCCGAGATTGGCCCTCGGAGAGATCGATGGGGCCGCGAGCTGCGCCATCGTTTCGAGTGGCAACCTCGATCATTAGGAGTTGACCCGCATGGCCCGAAAGGCCTCGACCCCTTTGGGTAGCGCCGCGGTCCGGATTATTGTAGGGGGTGGGTGGTCATTGCATCAAGGAGCGAGGATTGAGTCTCAGAGGATCAGGCAAAGGACATGAGGGTACGCCCACTCCGTGCCCAGAGGCACGGTGCGGATTTCCTTCTCCAAATCGCCCCGGTAATCCCGATATCCATGCGAGGTTTCTGAAGCCATTGTGAGCTCAAGGCGCCCTTGGTGTCAGAGCCGGAGGCGGAGAAATCAGGAGGACCGTGAGGAGGAGGATGGCGATGAGGAGGAGGAAAAGGAGGAGAAGGAGGAAAAGGAGGAGGAGAAGAAAAAGAAGGAGAGGAGGACGACTAAGGGCTACCAGGCCGTGTGGTGGCCACACCGTGTGGTGAGTCAATGGGGATTCGGCTTGACCGCACGGTTTTGGGTTGTTTTCCGAGGATGTATCGTGCGATTGGGGATCCCAAGGTTCCAAGACCGTGCAATGACGGACCGCGCGGTGAGTTTTCGAGGGTTTCTGGTTCGTCATCACAATTTACGGGGGCCCCCAACATGGCATCACAATTTATGGGGCCCCCGACATGGCATGAGGAGTCAGGAGCTGGAGCGTAACAGGGGCGGGATCGCAACCTCCATCGCCAGCAGGAAGCAACATCCAGAGCTGCCTCGGCTCGAAGGGGCCAGCGCGCCTCCGCCAGCGCGCTGCCCATGCGGCGTTCCCGGCCGCTGGTGAAGGCGGCGTGGCGAGCTTCATGGCGGACAGCGTTGCCGATGGCGGGAAGCGGCGTTGGCGACCCGCTCGGCGGAGGGAGGCGGAGAGGAACAGTTGATTTAGGCCTCCTGCGGGGTGCGCGAAGATGATCACTGTTCGCGTTCAGGGCTGGAGAGTTGCCCTTTTCTTCGGGGCCGCGCAAGAGCGCGTAGGTAATGGAATTTCGCGCAGTGCGAACTGGAAGTCTGAGTACGTGGGATGGAGTCGGCGGCGCGCAGAAGGGGAACAGAGGGTCTCCTTAGAAAACCGCCTGCCTGACCTGCCACAGGCGCGCCGCCATGTGATAGGGAGGGAAAGGCGAGAAGACATGTGGGGGGGGATGGCGACCGAGTGTAGTTTTCTAGGGGTGTCCGCTCCTTGGGCCGCCGATATGCGTTCCCGAAAACATGAGTTGTCCTTATGTTTCGCTGTCTTTCTTTATTGATGTATATTTCTCTCTCTCTCTCTCTTTATCTCTCCCGCCCTGCCTCCCAGACATATTCGAATCATCATTCCCCTCCCCTTCCATCCTTCTCTAATACACATACGCAAGTACACACATACGCATATGCTTATACATGTTTAGAGATGTGCATGGCCATTTGCGCATACACCGATACGAGTACGTACACACCTATATTCATATATATATAGAGAGAGAGATGTATCGAATGTCTAGCCATATGTGTATACACCGCCATGTGCACACATGCACATGTACAGGTACACAGTGCACAGTGCATTGCTTACTTGTACGACCGTACGAGCCTCGAATGATACATACACACGTACTCAGAAGTACAAATGTATACGAAATCTGTCGTATGCGACTCTGCGCAAGATGTGAGCCGAGGCGTCCTCACGCAGGTTGGCGAGCTCGCCGAACCTCTTCGGTGCCCGAAGTGCCACAAGACCATCCGAGGTGGTACCAGGCACTGTGACCGATACGACCTCGCTGGAGGAGGACAGGCTGCACAAATATGGCATTTTAGTAGAGCGAGATTCACCACCCACCAAACGACCCCAACCCATCCCGAAGGCCTTAATTTTCCCTCCATTTCCAGTGAGGGGGTGTCGGGGAACATTGACAAAACACATGGGAACCGTACCCCCCCCAACCCGAAATTCGGGTCAAATTCGGGTCTTCGGGTTGGGTTGGGGAAATCTGGTAGGTAGACCGATATGCCACGGGGGCGGTCGTGCAAGGGATGGAACCAAGTTAAAGCTGGCCCGCCTGCCGTGCCCGCTCCCACTGGCTGCAGGCTGCTCACCTGCCGTCGATTGCACTATGCACTTAGTTGCCTCGATACGCCCGTTTTGATACGCAGCACGTGCCGTGCTCAAAACGTCCGTGTCAATACGTTGCGAGTTGGCTCAGCGTATTGGCCCACGTGCTGGCGAACGCATCGCGTCAGACCTACGTTTTCAGTGTATGTGCTGAGCTCCGCATCAATAGGCTGCGTGTTGCGTGTTGCGTATCGGGGCAGCTACGACGATGCATTGTATCGCTGACGCCGTTCGTCATTCAAGTGTCCGCCCGTCTGCGAGGGATTCGAGAATGCGCAAGCATGCTGCTAGCATTTTGGTGGCCGACCAGCTTCATTCATAAGCTCAGAAATTCCCGTGATGCAATCCGCCTGGATTGCGCCGCATTCATCTGCCACGGCCCCTTCCATCACGGGGTGCGGCCGCAGCGATGCTGATGGCTCCGTTAACCATTCGACGTTGATCGTCAGCGAGCTCCACATGCAGGAGCATATCCAGCGTTCGCACGCCTATGATGTGACCGATACCATGAACGTGAACGGCTTCGCAGGCCACCTCCTCCCCGTGGTCCTCTTCGCCTCCTTCAGCTCCTCTCGTATCGCGTACGGCCCGAGGGGCATTCCGGCATTCCCTAGGGCCACGGCCTCGCCCTCGCACGTCCTTGTCCCCCCCTCGGCACACAGCTGTCGCTATTTCAATGCACCCCCCCCTCGCAACCTACCATGTCTGGGGGCGGGGACGTGGCCAGTCAGAGAGAGAAAGAGAGAGAGGAAACACAGAGAGAAGGACAAGAGCATAGATAGAGCAGGGGGAAAAGAAGAGAGGAGAGACAGACAGAGAGAGAGAGAGAAAGAGAAAGAGAGCACCAGGTCCGTGCGCATCTTCGCCGAGAGCGGGCCCCCGCAGCCTCCGAGGTCCACGCCCTCCCGGGGCCCCCCGAACGCGCGGCAGGCCGGTGCCGCCCCGCGCCAGTCCGGGCAGCCTCGTCCTTTACGCTGCCCTCCTCCTCCTCCTCCTCCTCCTCCTCCTCCTTTCCTCCTCCTCCTCCTCCTCCTCCTCCTCCTCCTCCTCCTCCTCCTCCTCCTCCGTAGCCATTTTGGCTCAAGATGCGATGCTTGGGGGGCGCTCAGCCTCCAGGCCAGACTGGGATCGCTCTGTCTCCCGAGCGAGCGCTAGGGCTGTTCAGCCCGACAGTTTTGCGGGCCCGCGCGCGACGGCATGGCCCCAGAGAGGGGGAGGGCTGCTGCAGCGGCCCAGGCAGCTTCGCCCCGTCCGACAGCTCGGGCGGCCACGGAACGCGAGCCCTGGCTGTGCAAGTCCTGCAAGACCAGCAAGGGCACGCGGTTCCGCAACAGCGGCTGGAGCCTCGCATGCGCCGGCTGCAAGCTCCACAAGGGCATCTCGTTCGGGGAAGTCGCGCCCAGCGGGGGCGGCAGCCCCGCGGCCCCCCGCAACCGCAGCCCCAAGTTGTCGCAGTCCGAGCCCACCGGGGATTTCGCTCCCTGGCAGTACGAGACCATGGAGAAGAAGATCCGCCAGCAGCTCGAGGCCAAGCACCGCAAGGAGCTCGAGCAGGCACGCCGTGAAGGCGCCGCGCGTGCTGGTGTCGGCGACACCGCGGCCGCCCCGTCTCCGCCCGAGCCCCAAGGCGATACTGCGGAGGATCTCGCACGCATCAAGCGGCTCACGGCCCTTGTCCAGGCGGGCGAGCACATGGGCGACACGGAGAAGGACAACGTGCTCCGCTGGAAGACCGAGCTCGACGCCCTCCGGGCGAAGCGCCAGGAGACCCTCCCCATCGGGAAGCGCTACGCCGCCTGCAACCGCGACATCAAGCGCCTGGAGGGCCTCGCGGCCACGGTCGCCAAGGACATCGCGACCACCAAGGCCGACATCGAGCGGCTCGAGGTCAAGCTGGCCCTGCAGCAGGAGCAGCAGGCCAAGCACGACAAGGACCTCACCGCGGCGCGCGCTCTCCTCGGCGACCTCGGCAAGCAGCGGCTCCAGGGCGGGAAGGAGCCGGAGGTCATCCCCGTCCTCGAGAACGTCGTCGCGAAGCTCGAGGACCACCTCTACGACGAGGGCCTCGACGGGGCTGATGCGCTGGAGATCAGCCAGGAGTTCCAAGAGGCCAAGGACCGCCTCCTCCAGAAGATCTCGGAGGCCAAGGCGGCACGCGACCGCGCCCCACCGGCGCCCCTCGAGGCCCCGCAGCCCGCGGTCGCCCAGGTCCCCACCACCACGGTCTGGGACACGGCAGCCACCAGCCGAGCCTTCCTCCAATCCCTCGGCCAGCAGGTCCCCGAGGGCGACGAGGAAGCGCGGAACGCGCCGAAGCTCACCAGGCGGCCACTCTTGCAGCCAAGCGCGCCAGGGTGGACGACGCCGACGAGCAGCAGCAGGCCAAGGAGGCCATCCGAGCTGCGGGCGAGCACGCCGAAGCCCAGGGGCGTGAGGCCATGGGGCGGCAGGCGGCTTCCGGCCAGCCTTTGGACGCTGTGCCGCCTCCTCCTGCTGCTGGCCTGCCTGGACATGGGGGCGGAGTCCCGCAGCGTACCTAGCAGCAGCTCGGACATCAGCATCCTTTACGGCAACATCACGGAGTGGGGTCCGCAGGCGCAGGGCTTCCTCCAGTCGGACCGCGCCAAGCGGTTCGACGGTGTCGGGTTCGTGGAGCTGCGCCGCTCCGAGAGCCACGCCATGGCCATCATCGCGGCCTTCCGCAAGGACGGCTGGAAGGCGACGTACTCCCCGGGTGTCTCCACGGGCAAGGGCGGCGTCACGGGTGGCGAGGTGATGGCGGTCCGCGCCCACCTCCAGGCCACCACCTTCGACCACTGGCGCGACCCCAAGGGCGACGCGCTGCGCGGGTTCGCGCCCATGGTCCTGCACACCGCTGCGGGCAACATCGTGGTCGCGGTGCTCTACCTCCACCCTGCGTTGGGCTTCGGCAAGCGCAACAAGGCTACGCTCGTCGCCCTCGGGGCTTTCCTGGCGGTGCAGCGCGCCCCGTGGATTGTGGTCGGCGACTGGAACCACGACCCGCAGCAGCTCACCCAGTCGCAGTGGATCGGCAAGCTCGGCGGGGAGCTCGTCCTGCCCGACGTGGCCGCCACCTGCGATAAGGGCCAAGGCCGCCTCCTCGACTTCGGCGTTGCCAAGGAAGGGTACGCGCACCTCTTCAAGCTGGAGGCCTACCTGCAGGTGCCGTGGGCCACCCATTGCGGGCTCCAGCTCACGCTGCGAGGCGCCCGCCAGCGATGGTGGTACCAGGCGCTGGACGCCCCTCGCAGCCCGCCCGCGGCCCAGCGCCCCAAGGCCGAGGCGCGGCCTGACAGCAAGCGGACCAGGCAGCGCCAGGCAGCCCTGGCGAAGAGGGCGGCCATGCTCCCGTCGGAGCTCGGCTGGATTTCCTCGACGCCCACCTGGCCGTCTGTCGGGCCAGCAGCGAGGATCCGCCGCGCACGGGCGACCTCGCCGGCGCCCGCGGCGCTCGCGGAGGGTCGGGACAGGCCCCCGCCGCGGCCCTGGCGGCCCCGCCCTGCGAGGTCCTGCAGGCGGCACCGGCGCCCGAGGGAGACCCTCTGATTTTCTTCGATTGCCAGCCGTGCCAAGTGACAGGCGGCGCCGCGGAGGCATCTTGCCGAATCGCCCCGCCGCACTCTGGACCGCCAGGGCTCTCCACCCTCAGCGGCGTATGGGACCCCTTCGACGACCTTGGCGACGAATTCCACGATGCTCTGGAAACTTCGCCGCCCGCTGGGCCAGAGGAAGGGCCTCCTGCCGACCACTGGTGTGACGCGCTGGGTTCAGTTCATTCACAGGTCGGCCCGCCTGACGAAAGGGGCGCCCTCGCAGGTGGAGAGGGGCCGAGCTCGACGACATCCCATGGGGGCTGCAGCTACACGGGCAGGCCACCCTGTTTTTCAGTTCATTTCCAGGTCGGCCCGCCCGATGAAAGGGGCGCCCTCGCTGGTGGAGAGGGGCCGAGCTCTGCGACATCCCAGGCTGGCTGCAACTACACGGGCAGGCCAGCCAGTTCTTCAGTCCACTCACAGGCCCCAGTGGGCCAGGGGGCCATCAGCCAAGAGGACGGCCGCGTTGGCTGCAAATCGGTGCCCCCTGGCAGCGGCGGCGGCGGGCCCTGGCGACCCGCGGGATTTTCAGCCAAGAAGACGGCCGTGTTGGCTGCAAATCGGCGCCCCCTGGCGGCGGCGGCGGCGGGCCCCGGCGGCCCGCGGGATTATCAGCCAAGCGGGCGGCCGTGTTGGCTGCAAATCGGCGCCCCCTCGGACGGCCCGGGGGGCCTGCCCAGCCCCCTCGGGGGGGCCGCTTGCGACGCTGCCAGGAGCGCTGGGGGCGGCCCGCGGGGCTCGCCTGATCCCCCCTCGGGCGCCGCTGGCCACGCTGCTGCTGCTCGGGGCGCCGCCGGGGGCGGCCCGGAGGGCTCGCCCGCTTCCCTCGCGGGGGCCGCCCGCGACGCCGCTGCTGGCGCTGGAGGCCGCCCGTGGGGCTGCGTCTTGGCGCGGCGGCAGCGCTGGGGGCACTGCCGAAGCCGCTGGGTTGGCGTCCGGCCGCGGCCGGGCCGCCGCCAGGGCTGTCAAGGGGCCCGCCGTTCTCCGGCCGCGGCCAGCGGCCCCCGCAAGGGGGGCGGACGGGTCCCCTGGACCGCCGCCGGAGCCCCCCGGGCCGCCTCCGGGGCCGCCGCCAGGGCCTCCGGGGTCGCCGCCAGGGCCCCCGGGGCCGCCTCTGACAGCAGCCGAAGGGAGGTGACACCTGGTGTCACCACCGACCGCCTGGGTGACACCTGGTGTCACCCAATCGTGGGGGCCGCCGGGGCCGCCGCCGGAACCTCCCGGGCCGCCTCCAGCGTCGCGGACGGGCCCCGCGAGGGAGGCGGGCGAGTCCTCCGGGCCGCCCCCGGCGGCGCCCCCAGCAGCTGCGCGGCCGGCGGCCTCCAGAGGGGGGGCGGGCGGGGTGACGCAGCCCCGAGCGCCCCCTTCAAGGTCCCCTCCGCCACCTGGCGCAGTGCAGCGGCCTACCGGTCCCGAGCAGGCCAGGTTAACCCCGCCCTCCTGCAGCACCCCTTCCTCGACCCGAGGGTGGCCGAGGCCGAGCGTCTCGCCGAGCTCTACGGCGCCTGGGTCGCGCAGGTGGAGGCGGCCATCCTCGCGCATGAGGGCATTGACGCGGCGAACTGGTCTGCGCGACAGGGTCGCGCCCGGGGTTTCGGCGTCACCTGAAGGCAAACGGCGGCCAATCCTGGGCGAGCCCACCTTCGCCACCCCGAGGCCGACGCCTGGGCCACGCACCACGCCAACCTCACGGCCCTCCTCGCGCTCGAGGCCAGCGGCAAGGATCCGAGACAGCTGCAGTGGCGCCTGGACCTCCACCGCTCCACCCTCGGGGACATCGGGAAGCTCTCGGCCACCAAGCGCACGGACCAGCTCAAGGCGTACACCGACAAGGCGCAGGCGGTCCTCGGGCGGCCCAGGCACGAAAACAACACCCTGCGGCACCTCGCGCAGGACCTGGCGGGCGATGCCGCGCGTCGGGCGCTCCAGGAGGGGAGGTAAAATTATTCCTCGCATGTGCATTCACGCGTTCCCACACGTGCAATGGGCAACACACATACGTGCAGCTGGCTGGGGCCGCCCTGGGAAACCTCCAGGGCACCCAACCAGCGGAACGCGAGGGAGCGGGTGGGCGGGGAAAGCAACCCAACCCGAGAGCAGCCTGCACCGCGGCAGCGGCAGCCCCACGAGAAGCGATGCGCACGCGCACCCCCTGACCCCGCAGGCGCTGCTGCGTCCGCGTGCTGACGCAGGGTCCACAAGGCCCCTGGTGACCAACGACAGACGGACACGGACGGACGGACACGGACAGACGGGCAGAGAGGGAAACCGCACCCTGAACGGGCCAGGCGTGAGCAAGAACTTCCCCTCCAACTCCGCAGCCTCCGTAGGAAGCTACCGGCCATGAGCCAAACGCACGAAGCTAGGAGGCCAGGAAGCCAAGAGGCTAAGAGTGGACAAGAATCCTACTCCTCAAATTTCACTGCCCCCCAAACCACTCGTGCCTCGTGATTTAGGGGCGACTAAAATTATTCCTCGCATGTACATTCACGCGTTCCCACACGTGCAATGGGCAACACACATACGTGCAGCTGGCTGGGGCCGCCCTGGGAAACCTCCAGGGCACCCACTGCACCCAGGTGGGTCCGGACAGCTGCGCGAAGCGGTTTGCTACTGGTACCTGTGCCCCCCCATGCAAGCAGGAGCATTTTTACTCAGCAGCGTCCGACGAATCTGAGTGTTCAACTAAGAACTCTGCTGCCGCCACGTTCCCCCGCGCCCTGGCTGAGGCGTACGCGAACGCGGTGAGCCCGCGCCACCCACCAGAATAAAACAGGGCAGTGGGGCCGTTCGCCTGCAAACAATCCGTCGCCCAACCTCGGCGAAAAGCATGCGTTCCCCAGAACATGGCGTTTTCTATGCCGCACGCCTGAGCCGCCACCTTCAGCGTGGCAAGGCTTTCCGAATATGTCAGGCCAGGAAACAGCGCTCCGGAATGACAGCTGTGGCGAGAAACAAGCACACATACCCCACAAAGCGCTTTACCCTGGAGGGCGCATATGCACCTCCGAACCACTTGCACGGGCTCGCTGTAGCATTTCCTGTTGGTGAAAGTGATGGACACCTCCTTGCGCGTACCAGCCGCCGCGGCGAGGCAGACTGGCGCTGTTGCCGATCCAATCTGGAGAACCTCGCCATACCGTAAACAGAAATGACGCGCCACGACCCAGGACGCCCCAACGTCGGGCAGGCCGAACGCCGAGCACCACGTGGACAGCGCTTTGGTCTCAGCAGCGGTGGCACGAACGCGAGGCCGTCTGAACGACCGGCCTGCCTTTTCAGCGCCACGGACGACCCGGGCCGCATCTGCCAGGGCGCCCAAAGGGAAACGCATCCAATGCAGCACAGTGCGGAGGTGGGACAAATATCGCGCCAAGGTCCCTGCACTCCGAAATAAGCTGATATATGCGTCAACCACGGGCGTCGTCGGCGGCCAAGGAGCAGATGCCGAGTGCAAAGCCACCTGGCCGTACAACCGCATTGCAGAAGAGTAGCCTCGCGCACTGGCGCGCCACCCGCAAAATTCGAGCCACACAGCCTGCTCACTCATGGCCTCCAAGTCGACAATATGGCGGCTGCGAGTCAGCTCTTGCCTTGGCGAAGAAGAGGGCAGCGGAAACACATCCCCGTCAATTTTGGCCAAAACCAAAATGGCATCTGCGAGTGTTGCAGGACCTGGCATTTCCCCAGACGCGCGGGCCACAGCGCAAAGCCTGAGAGCCGCGCGCGCTGCCATTGCCCGAGAGTTTGTCCCTGACGCAAGGGCAGGCACAGGCGGTTCGGGGAGTATCTGGGCGTCGGGGAGTAGCGCGGCCACAGCACCGCGCACTGCGCCCTCAGGTTCTGCAGAAGCGCATGCTGACGCGCACAGCTCCGTCAGCGCCTCCGCGAACGGCAAAGGTACGCCTCTGAGCGCAGACCAGATGTCCTGCGCCTCTGCCGCCGAAATGCCAAGGAAATCCGAATGATCTACTGCTCCCCCGACGGCCAGATCCGATTCAATTCTTCGCACGTCGACTGTGAGACCTGAAATGCTCGCCGCTCTTCGCAACAAAACGCCAAGCGTGGAACTGCCAGCCGGTTCCACGTGGCCACGCGCATCGCTCAGCCTGGGACGCACCAAACGACCATCATCTCGAGCCAGCTCGTCCTGCCGTGCCCTACTCTGGCCAATGAAATGCAACATTTGCTCCAATCGGCTACGGACGGAAGCGCGCACTGGACGACGAATGACGCCGAACAGGCGTAACACTGACCACAGCCTCGCGAGCACACATTGGCCACAGACCAGCTGACGGGCACACAGAACAATTTTCGGAGTCCGAGGCCCTGCGGAAACAACCTCGGCCACAAACTGCAGGAACCAGGGCCGAACCTCATGGGTCCGAATGGAGGCGCCCAGGGCGCCAAAAACAAACAGGACACGGCGCTCCGACAAGAGACCTGTCAAAGTGGCACGCAGAGATGAGGGTTTGTGCCGCACGATGGTGACGACGCCACACCTGACAGCGAAAGTTCTTTTTCCACGGTCGGGTACAGTCACTCCGCGCCCCAAGGCAGTGCTGCCGGCCATAACCAGGCAATCCGCTCAAAGCTCCGGGCGCCAAATGCGGCCACAGCTGCGTCCCAGGTGTCCCACCTGGTGGGCCCATCGGCGAGGTTCAGCTTACTTGGAACACGGAACGCGTGCAAAGAGATGCCGGCCCTGGCGACCTGGAACCAGGAACCAGTGACCAAAGCATTGAGATCCGTTTGTCTGCTCGCTCCGCGCACAAGCACGTGCAACGCCGGATTGCAATCCACGAAAAGAAGTATTTCGCAGTTAGCCAGTCCGCGCTCGATTAAACATCGGACTGCGCACGCTGCGGCAAGCAGCTCCCACAGCACAATCTGGGTGCGCCGTGGATGCGCCCACTGCCAAGCCTCCTGCGGCACCGAGGCGGCGCTCCATAATCGGAAACTCGGGTGCACCAGTGCGAATGCTATTCCTCCATCTCCCGCAGCATCTGTATACACAATGCACCGCTCAACGGCGCGCGGCGCAAGCTGAATCCGCCTTGTCGGCGCCTCTGCTAAAAACGCGGACCACCAGCGGAGCGCCGTCCGGACGCGCGCCGTCAAACGAGCAGTGGCCAGTGAAGCGCTGCGAGATACGCCCTGGCCCCCTTTCCAAAAACAGCGCTGCCAGCCCAATTCAGGCGGCCGGCCAACCGCTTCGCTTCGGCTGGACGGAGGGCGTCACTCTGGAGAGCCTCCTGAATGGTCTCGAGCCACTTCTGCTGTTTAGCTGGCCCAATCTGGAAGATGATTTCGCCTGAGCGCGCAGAAACGTCCACTCCCAGAATGGTGGTGCTCGTGGCGCCTCTCACGCGCTTCGAAGGCTCAAGCACCCAGCCTGTCAAGCCCAGCAGTTGCTCTGCGCAATGCGCTGTCCCTACTGGCCCTGTCAGCGCGCTTGCTGCGCCCAGGCACCTATCGGCAGAGAACAGATCGCCCACGAACCGGGGATATGCCACAAACAGATCTCGCGCAAGCAACGCCTGGAAGAACGAACCAAGCCTATGCCAGCTGTGGACAGAAGCGCTCGACCCAAAAGGGCAGCAAATCAACTGCAGACCTTTGGCCTGCTCGGCTGCAGTGCGCCAGGAAATGACAGCGAAAGGCAGGTGTTCCGCCCGCAGCGGCAGGGATTTGAAGGCCCCTTTAAAATCCTCCTTCCGGAAGCACACAGCGCAGTCGCGCGGCGCATCGCCAGCGACAGACCGCGCAACAGCGAGCAGAGTGTCCAAAGTGTCGACCGGCATGGGTTCCCCAATTGCCGTTGCTGAATTGACGAGAGACCCTGAGAAATCATCAATCAAGCGGACCTTGGGGATGAACTCGCCGCCTGCTTCCTTCCACCCCTCCAGGGCAGGGAATCGGGCAGAGATCACGGAGGCGGCGGGACGCAGCTCTGTCCACCATGCCTTCTTTTCGGCTACCTCTTGCACGCATTTCGCCACAAATGCGTTCCAGACTGCAGGCTGCGCGGCCGACGGTCGGCGCACTCGCTCTAAAGTGTTGGCGTTGTTCTCCAAACAACGCTCGGCGAGAGATTCTGCAGTTTCTGACACTGCAGGGTACGCGACGGGCGGCAAAATGCCGCTCCGAGGCAACTGGCCAAGCAAGGGAAAGCCTCGTTTGAGATCTTCCACCAGGCGGCAGTCTGGCCAGTCAATTGCCTCAATCATTTCCGCAAGAAGAATGAGATTCTTCTCAGGCCCGAGGACAAGCTGACAATGCTCGGGCAAAAGCGCAAACGCACATCTCCAGGCTGAATCTGTTTCGCGCTTTCGCGCGGCCCAGTGCTGGAGCCTCGCCGCCCGATGCGCGTGAAGCTCGGAATCTGACAGGGATTCCGCCCCCCTCAGTGCCTCAGCTATTACTGCTGGCACTGGCGGGAGCCCTTCGTGTACAGGCAAAGAAAGAGCCCATTCCAGGTGACTCCAAGGGTCCATGGAGCCTAGCAAAACAGGATTGGCTAGCAAGGAGTCCACGGCTTCGCTCAAGGCAGCAAACCCGCCGAGCGAATGCTCCAGGGACTCCTGGTCCTTTAAAACACTTGTAGGGGTACTATCAGCATCACTGGCGGACGCATCTTCGGACGCCTGGTTTCACCGGCTCGACCAGCTTTTGCCATGCTGCCAGCTCTGGCCTTTGCTCCACTGACTCTCTTTTTTGTTGCGGTCTGCCTGGGCGCGGCTGCGCGATCTGCGCCGCAGGACTGGCGACACAGGTGCAGGGCGCGCCCCCTTGGGCCCACCAGCACACTTGCCATTGCCCTTGCCAGAGCTGCCCTTTGCCTGCGCCGGCTGCGCTGGACCTTTGCCTGCGGCCTTCCCCGCGCGGCCGATCGCCGTCTGGGCCTTGTCCCGAGCGTCCCGGACGATCTCACGGTCCAA